ATAAGAGCGGGAAAATGACAAGTCCCGGACATGAAGGGAAACAGGGGCGGGTTTAGGCCTGGAGGAGAGGGGGGCCCCGGTAGTCAAGACCCGTAAGAAAGGGGGGGCCCGGTTTCTAAAAAAATTTTTTCCTTTGGGCCTCGGTTTGGTCTAAAAAATGGGGGGGGGGGGGGAAGGCGAGGGCGCGGGCTCCCCTGGCCCCTCCCCTGGATCCGCCACTGGATTTTGTTGCAGTGATGTATGACTTGTGTGTGAGTTTTTCTCTCTTCTTTCGTCACGGTAATGAGACAAGACTGACTCAAATTGACGACAAACCCTTCAATAGCCACCCACCCCACGAAACTGACCACACTACTGGGGTCTATACTCTCGTCTTCTCGAAAAGATGTGGGTTGTTCTGCGTCCTATCAGAGTCGTATCTGCACAAGTGCTGAGCATTGGAGACGAGGCAAATCAACGGTTTTCGTCTTTATCAGAGAAGAGTGTTGTGTCGACGAAAGAACTAGTAGAAGATAAGACAAAACTGGACTTTGGCTACAATAGCGTGGACTGGCTGGGTACATTTTTAAAACTGGCAATAACATTAGCGTATACGGCGAAAGGTAATCATTGGTGCAATCGGAAGCGTAGTTAGCTCAGCAATGCGATGAATGTTGCGATGTTATCGAAAACTGACTACTATAAACTAGCTTCCTTATGTATAACCATTCTGATTGAAGACAAAGAGTACAATAAATAATACAATTAGTTATACTACTAGTTTCTGCAATTTGATTGGCTTAGAGCATACCTATACATGTGAAAATTACAAAACCTTTGCGTGTAGTAGTATAAACAAATAATATCATGATTTGCGCGTGATATTTGGCATAAAAACCACTCGTGATATTTCAAAATTGTTTCAAATTACGTATAACAATTTCGAAATATCACTCCCGGTATTTATGCCAAATATCATTACAAATCATGCTATTACCTATACATATACCATGATGGCTAAGCCAATCAGAGCTCTAGAATTGCATTATCCAAAGAATCAGTTTTTAATAACGTAAGATAAAAGTTTTTATAACAAAAAGACCAGTCTTTTTATTTCCATGTTAGTACGAAGCAACATCGTGATAAATACAAAAAGTCGGAGTTTTCCCGTCGCTTGTTCTTTCAGTATAAAAAGAAAAATAACAACAACGCCTTTCTTTCGTGGAAATGTAACTAAAAAATTAAATTGGAGTAGACAACGGTTGTAGCGAGCTATGTGCAAAAGTTCTTGCAGAGCGCGCGCACAGTATTTCTTTATAGCTGTAGTTACTATAGCCTGCGCGCAGACGAAATTAAACTCTGGTTAACTCTGGTACTAGTCAGAGTTTAGTTATCGTCTGCACGCAGGCTATAGTTACTATAGTAGCCTGCGAACAGCAGATGTAGTTTCCGGTCTTGCTGTTCGCAGTGTATTACTATAAAGACCAAAGTTTGTTTGTATCAAGCCTAGTTTCCATATGATCGTCCCGATCGTCCCAGTCGGAAGATCGGGACGATCACATAGAAACCAGGCTTTAGAGAAGGAAGAAACCATGATCGTTATGCACAGGTAGCGAGTTTCAATTATGCCATTTTACGTTAATCGTTTCTACTTGTACCTATAAGGAAAACCGAAATGAAGAAAATTCTTCCAAAATAGTGCCCCGTTTAATAACCTTTAACGTCTGCTTGTTTTACTACATACGCGTTTTTTCGGTGGGATCAGAAATGAAAACTTCTTTTTAAGAATTATTATAGCAGTTTTACCTCCTGTTGAGAAAGTGTTGCTAAGGATCCAACGTGTGCTGCCATGAGTTAAGTCCATGCAGCGAAATATTTTTGATATGAGCTAGCAGAACAAATCTTTTTGTTCCGGCGATAAGAGCACGTCTTGCTCATGCAAACACAATGACTAAAGTAATAATGTGACGTCATAATAAGGTTTTTGACTTCGCGCGCTTCAGAAAATCGNTGCACGCAGGCTATAGTTACTATAGTAGCCTGCGAACAGCAGATGTAGTTTCCGGTCTTGCTGTTCGCAGTGTATTACTATAAAGACCAAAGTTTGTTTGTATCAAGCCTAGTTTCCATATGATCGTCCCGATCGTCCCAGTCGGAAGATCGGGACGATCACATAGAAACCAGGCTTTAGAGAAGGAAGAAACCATGATCGTTATGCACAGGTAGCGAGTTTCAATTATGCCATTTTACGTTAATCGTTTCTACTTGTACCTATAAGGAAAACCGAAATGAAGAAAATTCTTCCAAAATAGTGCCCCGTTTAATAACCTTTAACGTCTGCTTGTTTTACTACATACGCGTTTTTTCGGTGGGATCAGAAATGAAAACTTCTTTTTAAGAATTATTATAGCAGTTTTACCTCCTGTTGAGAAAGTGTTGCTAAGGATCCAACGTGTGCTGCCATGAGTTAAGTCCATGCAGCGAAATATTTTTGATATGAGCTAGCAGAACAAATCTTTTTGTTCCGGCGATAAGAGCACGTCTTGCTCATGCAAACACAATGACTAAAGTAATAATGTGACGTCATAATAAGGTTTTTGACTTCGCGCGCTTCAGAAAATCGCTCCCAGTTTTCTACCGAGATCAAGCAAGAGCCCAAAAACTTGGTAAAAAGGCCTGGGAAAAGAGACGGGAAGAAAAAAGTCGATACCTCATCTTTCCAATTCTCTGTCCTTTCTCTCCTTCCTCTGCCTCCTTTTGACGCCTGCTATGCAGGCTAAACACACAGGAGCCGAGCCTAATTTTCCCGCGATTTTCACTCTTTCTCCATTAAAAACGTGCGATGGCTGCGGAGAGACAAGACGGAAAACCTCTCCCCGGCCCTTTTCTCTATCTTCTCCCGGCTCTTTTTTCTTTTCCGCACTAGCTTTCGTGTTTGCTCTTCCCTACTAACATAGAGCAAGCCAGCTGTAACAGGCTGCATTGCGTCATTTGCTAAAGTCCTCATCCATAACTGCCCATGCGCTCCAGTTTGCTTTCCTCACAGTTGGCCATTTGCAGCGTACAAAGTGCAACTTTTTGCCAACGAAGAATAAGAAAGGTGCCCTAGAGGAAAATCTTAGATTGAATACGAAGATGAATGATAATCTCTTGAGACTGCATGCGGGGATATAAAAAGACCGCTTTTTTTACTCGCGATCAGGGATTGGTGTGGAAAGACGTTTGACTTTCTGACAAGGACAAGGCTCCTAATCCAATATTTAACGCGATGATTATTTGCCGCCGGCAGAAAAATGTTCTAATTTATATGTAACACAAAACATGATTTGGACATTGCCAAATGATAACTAAATCACTTTATTGTGAATTTTTCACACCATTTCCTACTCTACAATTTCAGATGAAAATTTATTACTAACAAAACAATACATGAAATAAGGGCGTTTTACATAATCACACTCCACTTTTCCCAAATCAAACCCAAGAAATGTAATCTGAAAACAAGTTTAATGGCGATCAACTAGTGCAATTCCAGGGCTAGTTACTATGACAACTCATATGCTTCGTTTGCAGTTAATATCCCAGGATGGACAGATAGAGAAAACTGAGCTGATTGAACACGCCCAGAATTGCGGTTTAAATAGACTACGAGTAGTCGCCCATTTTTCCTCAGAGATAGTAGAGCGTGCGAAACGCGAGCGCGCGTGAAAACTACTATCTCTGAGGAGAAATGGGGGACTACTCGTAGTCTACGGTTAAAAAGCAGTTTATGACATTTTACTCGAACAAGATCAAAGTTTCCAATTAGATTTTCAACATTTGTGGATCAATAGTTATTTTGTACATCTGTACATTCTGAAACTTTTGTACACTCTCTACAATAAAACAGAAACCAAACAAAATGTTCCTTCGTCCAAAGAAAGGAGGAAGAGAACAATAAATTATTGTTCATCAGGTAGATAGTAAATTACAGCGGTTGGCTGATGTTTCAGTTACACACCTTACTTTGCACTTCAACTTTGCAACAGTTCTAATAATTACCTGGCACTAGTACTTATGTAAGCAATCCGGCAGGATAGGCACCACTCAGTAGCTAAAGTGACCGAATGTGAAATCCCGTTTTTTTCAAACGTTTGTATTCTATTATCCCATTGCAACACAATTACAAAACATATGGAAACATAATAGAATGAAATGAACAAAATAAATATACAAATACATAAATAAATAAATGAAAATTGAGAGGAGACCGAAAGAAACCGAAGATCGGTAAACAAATTATTTGAATTCTCAGTGATCCACGTTCGTTATTAGGGAGATTTAGAATCACGTTAGCGGCAAGCGGCAAACGGAAAAAGTCAGTGTGTTATACAAAGTAATGCCCAGTATGAGAGGACTACGGAGCGTGTCCTGTTTACATTATATGTGAATAGCTGACGGTTAGGACTGACTTCATAATCCATTTTCACCACGTGACCAAGTTTCCATTTTGACTGTTGTTTACTGTTCATTATATCTACACAGTAATGAGAAGTTTCATGGCAACTGTTTATTTCCTAATTTAAGAAACAGCCAACTCTAATCTCGCGTTTGCCGTTTGCTGCGGTAAACGGAAATCTAAATCTCTCTATAGTAGGGGCCTTACTTTCACTCCTTCTCTCGGTTGTTTAGTTGAACTGCTCTGCACCTCAAGAAAATAAAACTGAGGAGGTGGTAAACTATATCAACTACCTTGTCGACCCATGTAAGAGAATCCGGTTTCCAGAATCAGAGAAAAATTTTGCTCGTGGAATCGGGAATCGGGGAATTTTTGCTTGTGGAATCTTGAGTACAGGTCAAGGAATCCGGAATCCCACTGACGATTGATTTGTTATCCAAGTTCCACTGATAAAGTGCGGAATCCAGTACCTAAAATCCGAAATCCATGGCGTAGAATCCAGAATCCAAGACTGTCTTGGATTCCATTACATGGGTCGATACCTTGAAACTCAAAACTCATGTATAAAAATAGCTGAGGAGGCAGCAAACAACATCAACAAATACAGGCCAGCAGACATTCGAACTGCAGACGATCCCAGGCCACACCCAACGGTCGCAGCTGGCGAGGCCTGTTCTGTCGCACTTGTAGCAATACTATCAGTACTGATTGGGCTCCCTGGGCCCCTCCCCTGGATCCGCCACTGGATTTCGTTGCAGAGATGTATGACTTGTGTGTGAGTTTTTTCTCTCTTCTTTCGTCACGGTAATAAGACAAGACTGACTCAAATTGACGACAAACCCTTCACTAGCCACCCACCCCACGAAACTGACCACACTACTGGGGTCTATACTCTCGTCTTCTCGAAAAGATGTGGGCTGTTCTGCGTCCTATCAGATGTCGTATCTGCACAAGTGCTGAGCGTTGGAGACGAGGCAAATCAACGGTTTTCGTCTTTATCAGAGAATAGTGTTGTGTCGACGAAAGAACTAGTAGAAGATAAGACAAAACTGGACTTTGGCTACAATAGCGTTGACTGGCTGGGTACTTTTTTAAAACGGGCAATAACATTAGCGTAAACGACGAAAGGTAATCATTGGTGCAATCGGAAGCGTAGTTAGCTCAGCAATGCGATGAATGTTGCGATGTTATCGAAAACTGACTACTATAAACTACAATGTAGCTTCCTTATGTATGATTTCTATAACCATTCTGATTGAAGACAAAGAGTACAATAGGAATACAATTAGTTATACTAGTACTTTCTGCAATTTGATTGGCTTAGAGCATACCTATACATGTGAAAACTACAAAACCTTAGCGTGTAGTAGTATAAACAAATAATATCATGATTTGCGCGTGATATTTGGCATAAATACCACTCGTGATATTTCAAAATTGTTTCAAATTACGTATAACAATTTCGAAATATCACTCGCGGTATTTATGCCAAATATCATTACAAATCATGCTATTACCTATACATATACCATGATGGCTAAGCCAATCAGAGCTCTAGAATTGCATTATCCAAAGAATCAGTTTTTAATAACGTAAGGTAAAAGTTTTTAGCCTTTATGGATCCGATGGATGTTCAATGGATAACAAAAAGACCAGTCTTTTTCTTTCCATGTTGGTACGAAGCAACATCGTGATAAATACAAGAAGTCGGAGATGCCCGTAGCTTGTTCTTTCAGTATAAAAAGAAAAAAAACAACAACGCCTTTCTTTCGTGGAAATGTAACTAAAAGATTAAATTGGAGTAGACAACGGTTGTAGCGAGCTATGTGCAAAAGTTCTTGCAGAGCGCGCGCACAGTATTTCTTTATAGCTGTAGTTTCCGGTCTTGCTGTTCGCAGTGTATTACTATAAAGACCAAAGTTTGTTTGTATCAAGCCTGGTTTCCATATGATCGTCCCGATCGTCCCAGTCGGAAGATCCGGACGATCGCATAGAAACCAGGCTTTAGAGAAGAAAGAAACCATGATCGTTATGCACAGGTAGCGAGTTTCAATTATGCGATTTTACTTTAATCGTTTCTACTTGTACCTATAAGGAAAACCGAAATGAAGAAAATGCTTCTAAAATAGTGCCCCGTTTAATAACCTTAAACGTCTGCTTGTTTTACTACATACGCGTTTTTCGGTGAGATCAGAAATGAAAACTTCTTTTTAAGAATTATTATAGCTGTTTTACCTTCTGTTGAGAAAGTGTTGCTAAGGATCCAACGTGTGCTGCAATGAGTTAAGTCCATGCAGCGAAATATTTCTGATATGAGCTAGCAGAACAAATCTTTTTGTTCCGGCGATAAGAGCACGTCTTGCTCATGCAAACACAATGACTAAAGTAATAATGTGACGTCATAATAAGGTTTTTGACTTCGCGCGCTTCAGAAAATCGCTCCCAGTTTTCTACCGAGATCAAGCAAGAGCCCAAAAACTTGGTAAAAAGGCCTGGGAAAAGACACGGGAAGAAAAAAGTCNTTATAGCTGTAGTTTCCGGTCTTGCTGTTCGCAGTGTATTACTATAAAGACCAAAGTTTGTTTGTATCAAGCCTGGTTTCCATATGATCGTCCCGATCGTCCCAGTCGGAAGATCCGGACGATCGCATAGAAACCAGGCTTTAGAGAAGAAAGAAACCATGATCGTTATGCACAGGTAGCGAGTTTCAATTATGCGATTTTACTTTAATCGTTTCTACTTGTACCTATAAGGAAAACCGAAATGAAGAAAATGCTTCTAAAATAGTGCCCCGTTTAATAACCTTAAACGTCTGCTTGTTTTACTACATACGCGTTTTTCGGTGAGATCAGAAATGAAAACTTCTTTTTAAGAATTATTATAGCTGTTTTACCTTCTGTTGAGAAAGTGTTGCTAAGGATCCAACGTGTGCTGCAATGAGTTAAGTCCATGCAGCGAAATATTTCTGATATGAGCTAGCAGAACAAATCTTTTTGTTCCGGCGATAAGAGCACGTCTTGCTCATGCAAACACAATGACTAAAGTAATAATGTGACGTCATAATAAGGTTTTTGACTTCGCGCGCTTCAGAAAATCGCTCCCAGTTTTCTACCGAGATCAAGCAAGAGCCCAAAAACTTGGTAAAAAGGCCTGGGAAAAGACACGGGAAGAAAAAAGTCGATACCTCATCTTTCCAATTCTCTGTCCTTTCTCTCCTTCCTCTGCCTCCTTTTGACGCCTGCTATGCAGGCTAAACACACAGGAGCCGAGCCTAATTTTCCCGCAATTTTCACTCTTCCTCCATAAAAACGTGCGATGGCTGCGGAGAGACAAGACGGAAAACCTCTCCCCGGCCCTTTTCTTTCTCCTCCCCCGGCTCTTTTTTTTTCCGCACTCGCTTTCGTGTTTGGTCTTCCCTACTAACATAGAGCAAGCTAGCTCTAACAGGCTGCATTGCGTCATTTGCTAAAGTCCTCATCCATAACTGCCCATGCGCTCCAGTTTGCTTTCCTCACAGTTCGCCATTTGCAGCGTACAAAGTGCGACTTTTTGCCAACGAAGAATAAAAAAGGTGACCTAGAGAAAAATCTTAGATTGAATACGAAGATGAATGATAATCTCTTGAGACTGCATGCGGGGATATAAAAAGACAGCTTTTTTCACTCGCGATCAGGGATTGGTGCGGAAAGACGTTTGACTTTCTGACAAGGACAAGGCTCCTAATCCAATATTTAACGCGATGATTATTTGCCGCCGGCAGAAAAATGTTCTAATTTAGATGTAACACAAAACATGATTTGGACATTGCCAAATGATAACTAAACCACTTTATTGTGAATTTTTCACACCAATTCCTACTCTACAAATCCAGATGAAAATTTATTACTAACAAAACAACACATGAAATAAGGACGTTTTACATAATCACACTCCACTTTTCCAAAATCAAACCCAAGAACTGTAATCTGAAAACAAGTTTAATGGCGATCAACTAGTGCAATTCCAGGGCTAGTTACTATGACAACTCATATGCTCCGTTTGCAGTTAATATCCCAGGATGGACAGATAGAGAAAACTGAGCTGATTGAACACGCCCAGAATTGCGATTTAAAAGCAGTATATGACATTTTACTCGAACAAGATCAAAGCTTCCAATTAGATTTTCAACATCTGTGGATCAATAGTTATTTTGTACATCTGTACATTCTGAAACTTTTGTACACTCTCTGCAATGAAACAGAAACCAAACAAAATGTTCCTTCCTCCAAAGAAAGGAGGAAGAGAACAATAAATTATTGTTCATCACGTAGATAGTAAATTACAGCGGTTGGCTGATGTTTCAGTTACACACCTTACTTTGCACTTCAACTTAACAACAGTTCTAATAATTACCTGGCACTAGTACTTATGTAAGCAATCCGGCAGGATAGGCACCACTCAGTGGCTAAAGTGACCGAATGTAAAATTCCGCTTTTTTCAAACGTTTGTATTCTATTATCCCATTGCAACACAATTACAAAAAATATGGAAACATAATAGTATGAAATGAACAAAATAAATATACAAATACATAAATAAATAAATGAAAATTGAGAGGAGACCGAAAGAAACCGAAGATCGGTAAACAAATTATTTGAATTCCCAGTGATCCACGTTCGTTATTAGGGAGATTTAGAATCACGTTAGCGGCAAGCAGCAAACGGAAAAAGTCAGTGTGTTATACAAAGTAATGCCCAGTATGAGAGGAATACGGAGCGTGTCCTGTTTACATTATATGTGAATAGTTGGTAAGTTAGGACTGACTTCATAATCCATTTGTACCACGTGACCAAGTTTTCATTTTGACTGTTGTTTACTGTGCTTTATATCTACACAGTAATGAGGAGTTTCATGGAAACTGTTTATTTCCTAATTTAAGAAATAGTCAACTCTAATCTCGCGTTTGCCGTTTGCTGCGGTAAACGAAAATCTAAATCTCTCTATAGTAGGGGCCTTACTTTCACTCCTTCTCTCGGTTGTTTAGTTGAACTGCTCTGCAGCTCAAGAAAATAAGATTGAGGAGGTGGTAAACTATATCAACTACCTTGTCGACCCATGTAAGAGAATCCGGTTTCCGGAATCAGAGAAAAATTTTGCTCGTGGAATCGGGAATCGGGAAATTTTTGCTTGTGGAATCTTGAATACAGGTCAAGGAATCCGGAATCCCACTGAGGATTGGAATTTGTTATCCAAGTTCCACTGATAAAGTGCGGAATCCATTACCTAAAATCCGGAATCCACGGCGTAGAATCCAGAATCCAAGACTGTCTTGGATTCCATTACATGGGTCGATACCTTGTAACTCAAAACTCATGTATAAAAATAGCTGAACTCCGTCGTTTGTTGTAGTTGTTTATGTCCGGTCGTCTGTAAGCTTGACGTCTGCTAGGGTCCGGTGTGGGTTGCCAGCGTCGACCGCTCCGGACAAGACAGCGTGAACATCGTTATGATAGTCATGACTATCTCGGGGCTGAAGTTGCACTATTAGTATCAGCGGAGGCCTGGAAGCTAGCCCTGACGATTCGGTTGTAGAGTGGCTGAACGGGACGGTAATTTCCAACACTTAATGTGGTGTAAGTCTTCTGGAGTTGACGCAGAAGGTTCATCTAAAAAACAAAAAAACAAACAAATTAGGAGGTATTCGGACTATTTTTACACTAAATGACATATTGATCCAATAGACGGCGGGTTTGCGGCAAAAAAATTTAAAACGCTGCTGTCAAGTAGTTTAAACACATGTTTTTTTTTCAGTCAAATACTGTACCTGATACTGCGATATGTTGACAGCGTCCCTAAAAACAGTCCACGTGACACTCTCTTTGCAAGAAGGAGTGGTTAGAGAACCGCTGTACCGGAAGTACTTGGTCTTGTTGGCAGGTAACAGGCTGTCAAATCTGAAAGCTGGAATGCCGCCCATGGATGAGTCTACAGATACAGAAAGAGATAAAAACGTACCAAAGATGTCGTTAGTCACAATATGGAGAAACGAGTACGGTTTCATGCAATTGCGCCATGAAAACTGCGAATATGCGGAAAAAACATCACTTACAACTCTCAGAAAGGTTTCGGGCATTTTCCAGAAACGAAAATGCTGTGTTATTAATGCCTCCAACCTGAAAAATCAGAGTAAAAAGCAATTCACGTTGGTCAAACTTTCGGCTCAAGAATGATTACAGATTGTATTGAACCACGAGACCGAAAGGTTCACAGGAACGTTTGGGTTTACTTAATATATTTATTATATAAACTACAGTGTGTTATAGGGATTTTGGCCACTGAGAAATGTCGTACCAAAACACATGTGTTCTGATATCGTATCAAAACACGTGTCGTTATATCTATTCACATTTCAAAACAATTGATCTAAATTTATGTCTCGAGATCTCGAGATATTCTCTATTCATTCAACTTCTTTTCTACCCAATTACCTGTATGAAGAGACCGAGAACAGCAAGACCATCTTCATGTTCGATTGCTTGCACAAGGTTGTCATATTTGGTGTTATAACTTACAAAGTGCAACTGTAAAACAAGAAGGGAAAGTTAAACATTTGATGCAAATATTTGAAGTTCCTTAGAAGGAATTTTAAAAACTACTTTTCCGTAGTCTCATTCGTGTGCAGAAACCAAAGCTGTTTAATGTTGAAAACAGTTTAACAATTTAACAATTTCCAGGTTAGTAGCAAATGAAGATCTCTTGAGAAGGCGCAAATAAAACGCGAAGCCAGTTATAGAGCTGATAGGCTCAAGAATCATAGACTTTGTGCAACAAAAGAAAAACATATTCACTGTAGTAGGTTTGAGCTGACCGTTATCACTGGCTTTTGAGCAACGAATTTCCTTTAACAATAAATGTATAACCTTGAACTGACCTTGGGACCGTCCTTTTCTCTATTTAGGGATTATAACTCTGGAATGTTTTTATGTAGCACTTTATGATATAATTCTTAGAAAAACCAATGGATTTCTCTGATACATTTAAAGAAACACCTCGTTGTACTTTGATGCAAGAATTGTCTTTGTAACATTCAGTTTCAGTTTGCTCACTCACTCACACACAAGTCTACACAAACAAACACACCCACCCACCCACTGACTCACTACCCACCCACTTATTCACTCATCCACCCACCCACCCACTCACTCACTCACAAACCACTCACCCACCAACCCACCACTCACTCATTCACTCATCCATCCACCCAGTCATTCACTCATTCACTCACCTCAGCTGCATAATGTTCTCCGTCCACAATGTGTTCCGATCCCACAGTGTCGTTTGGTCCATAATGAAAGTGAAACTGAACAGTGGTGTAAACACCGTTCAGACCTCCTCCGCTGACATTATACACTCTCTCAGGGAATGCCATTCCAAAGGCGTAACCTGTGTTTGATCCAGTGAAGGTTTTGTTGAGCTTCCTGTCGTAGTTTTCCAGTGTGAACGCACCCAAACCTTTGTCATGAGTTATCTCGGTGCTTTTAATATCAATTGGTGATTGTTTCTTGCCTGTACTGCATATACCAGCCCAGTTAGCAGGGCCTAAAAGGAAAGCAAGGCATGTTTGGGATAAGCGTTTTTAAAAAGAACTTTTAATAGAATGACGTGTCAGTGAAAAGCTGGTTAGAAAAGTGGGAGAATTTTCACTTTTCATCGCAGGACAGATTTAACGAAAACTGATGAACAGTAAAAACGAAATGTTATTATTTTCTCACCAACATTAGCATTTGGAAGGTAGCTCCATCCTGAAAAATAAAAAAGACAAAAATTAGAGGGTCAGAGTTAATTGCATTTTAGTCCCGTCCCTCTTTTGTTTCTGTGCTAATACCTTATCCATCCATCCATCCATATTTTTCAATATTATTTACTTTAGTTCGTAGTTCGTTCATGTGCATGTTATCAAAAACGATTAGACTGAAACTGTATTTTAGGAGTTTCGAGTTTGTAGGCAGTATTAATTTTTCCAGAGAAAATATGTGTTTGATTATCATGCTTAAGAAATTTAAAGAATAAAGTTATCGTTCTGGGCCCAGTTGTTTAAAGGTCAATTAGCGCAAACACGGGATTAAATTTGAATCTGGGTTTGTTATTCTTCTGTTCAAAAGCATTTTCTTGGATAATTTTCTCTATTCTTTAGAGCATCAAATTATTCCAATGCAGGCAAAAAGAATTTGATTTTTAAGCTTTCATATATGAATTTAAATTTTGCACTAACCCTGGCCAGTTATCTCAACCCTGCTTTGAACAACCCGGCCCTTAGCTCTAAAAATTGTAAACGTCTCTTGTCAGAGTTAACCTCGGATGCTTCACCCCTCTCCCACCGGCTCTTTTCAGAAGTCAAGGATAAAACGCGGACTCTTCTTCAAATTAAACTTGGACTGTTAAATTACAGCTTACTTACCTTGACTGGAAGAAAAGGTGAATTTAGTGAAACACAGAAACACAACCAACAGATAACGATCCATACTTCGGTACCGTGAACTGAAAACAAAAGAGCAGTGTGTGAGAACAAGCCCACAAACGAAATCAATCAATCAGTACAGGTAGCAAAACTGACTGAAAAACTGCACCAAGACCTGTCGAGATATTCCGTATATTAGTAATGCTCATGCAACGAAGGAAACATACAACTGCAAACGCATTTTTTTGCATTAAAAATTTAAAATGTTCAAATGAGGCATTAAACTGCTGTTTCCCACGATGATGTCCTTAATCGGCGAAAGCTCGGATTTTTATATTTTTTAAAACGGAAAGCAGTTTGAGGTCTCATTTGAACATTTTAGTTTTTTATTTTCATCATGCTGCTTAAGGAAAACTTGAACAGTATTTTTTTAAATTTATTGTTCGAGCCATGTATTTTAACAAAGTCTGGTATTTTCTTTTTAAATCCTGTATATAGGATTATAATTAGAAGCTAAAACTTCAAAAATGAAAAACCATACGGGCAAGTCCAATAGTGTATGTTTAAAAAACCGCAAAACTTTGAATAGACCTATTCGGCTAACTCAATGTTGTACCCAATTCAAATCTCCCGGGTATAAGATTCTTTGTGTATTGTATTTGCATTATAATGTGGCATTCACATTTAAATGATATGGAAATTCCTGATCGAAACGAAACGTTTTATTCCCAAAGGGTTTGAATTGGGTACAACATTGAGTTAGCCGAATAGGTCTATTGACAGGTTCACGCAAAACCCAACGTTTTGCATTAATATGGGCGTAATAGTAACAATACATTTTACTGACGATTGCGCCAACCTCGTCCCCAGACCGTGTTACCCATCAAATGTGGGAAAAGGCCCTTGAGTATGGAGAGGAAGTTCGGACGATCGCCCACTTTCTCATGGGCGTCATTCCGTACTCGACCGATATACCATGGCGTCAATGAAGAAAGTTTTGAGTCAATTGATTATTTGTGAAAAATCGAAAAACTGGAGAGAGTTCGAGTTGTGTGGGTGAGGTACCGTCCAGTCTTGTTAAAAAAATAGCAAATATTGAACACTTACGTAATCTGACTAATCTAGCAGTAAAAAAAGAAAGCTCATGGGCGTCAAATGACAGCTAAAAAAAGAATTTCTGACTTCCACTTCCTTAGTAACAAAATATTTGGATGAACGATTAAGTTGACTCTCTTTCATGGTTCTATTTCGAGGTGAAAATCAGACTTAGAATATTACTAGTTTACGTTTCCATCACAACGATTTTTAATAAACCACAACATTCCCAGAGCAATATTTCTAACACATTAATCTTTCAGTAACCATTCGTACATCCAAATCTATTATACTAACGTCTTGATTCACAACAAACACACATATCGCACGTAAAAAATAGAAATTTATACCAGAAACAGGTAAAATGATCAGGTCTTTGGCGTTCAAGCGATAGCTTTTTATGATCAGTTATGCTAAGAATGAGTTATATACGACGTTCCTGAAATACGACTCCTTCGCGTCCCCCTCCTATTATTACTTTTCTCTGTTCTCATTTCTTTATAAGGATTATTATTAATAATTCAGACGATCATATTCAAAAGTAAACCAGCTCTGCTATCGCTGTTTAAAAAATGCCAACACACGAAAATTGATCTGTGATACAAAAAAAAAATATCGAGGCAATTATAATTTGAAGACGGAAGCTCTTTTTAAAAGGCCTAATTTTATATTAGTGAATAATTAATTATATTTGATACACGATTAGAGCACTTTCTTCACGTGAGGGCGTGCTTGAAGGTGGAAGTCCTAAACACTTTTTCCTCATGCATGTTTTACCGGAGGGGCTAGAGTGCACGTGCATACTTATGTGCGGCCAAACACTTACTGCATTTCTTATACTAATTTCACCACAAACTGGTGGAATAATTTGTCTCGATTGAACCTCCCTGAGCTATGCTGTTAAGACATACTCGACGTTTTTAAGCTGTCAACCTTATAGAAGAGGTTCTGGGTCTGTCCTTTTAAGGGAACATGATTAAGGAATTCTCAAGTTGCAAGCTCCTGGTCCCAGCATTGACAGGAAACGTTTTGTACGAAATATTACAGTTACTCAGTCAGAAGTTACGTCTGATGTTTAGTTTGAAACAACTGCCACCAGACCAAGCAAATTTGCTATTACAAGATGTTGTCTACAGCTTTAACAAATCTATATCGGTGTTTTGCTAGACTAGACATCCGGTCACAGAATATGAGACTTTATGAGAAATTACTAGCTGAAAGAGGTTTCCCAACAAAGCATTTCATTTACAGACTCCTACAAAAACTGGCGGACTTAATTATGAATATACAAAGAAACTAAGAGCTTAGCATTTCTGTTCTACATAAGCAAAACTAACTCAGTGAGCTGAATATCGAAACGAATTTGTGACGGAGCAGCAAATGGAACCTAAGTGGACGAAACCACGGAATAATCCTAATCATTAGGCCAATAAAATAGTGGACGTTTTTTACCTCATTGAAACCGATAAATTTGTCTTTTATCCTTTTAACGTTTCTAATTTAAACGTTTCAAAGCTGAGAAAGCCTGATTTGGTATTGCACCTGATTTAATTATGGTAGGTTAGATTTTTTTTAGCCTCAAAAACGAAACATTTTTTCCTAAAATGAATTGTTTGGACAGCATAGTAAAGCAGAAACGGTTTTAGCGATAGAGATCAGTTCAACTGAAAAAAAAATCGAAGCTGTAAACAACAATCAACACAAGCAGGTGAAATTAAAAAGATATCAACACGGTCAATATTTGGTACACGAAAGTGTTCTTTTCTTGAAATCAGAAAAAAAACCCTGATCCTTTATTAGTGTTACAGCAAGTAATTAAAACCGAATTGAAAATTGAAAAAAAAAAGCAATGAATTGTTAAAGCAATTGAAACCGTGAAATTTCATTTCCGCATATTGTAGTCAAAGCTCATAAAACGAAATTACACGATGAAACATTGACGGTCTATATATAATGATGAACAAATTAATACAATATATTAATTCGAGAAGACTTCAGTTTCTTTTCATCAATGTACTCAAAAACTCCAAAGCAATATTTTTAACTCATCTTTGCGTGTATTAACTTTCGCTTTTCGCATTGAAAAGTGACCGAAAAGAAACAGTTCAGTAGAGGTTGAAAACCACTGTCTTGAATTAAGCTTTTGACTGTTAGAAGCAGAGGATCAAAGGTCTTTACTAGTCCAAGCAAAATAAAGGGCACGTTAAACAAATAAAAAAAAAGACATTATTTCAGGAACCTTTTGACGAAAAGGATTTGAAAAAAAGGTTCGAAATGAAAGGAGGCTCGTTAAACCTGGGAAAGACTTAGCTGATGATGACGAAAAACCAAGGGTTCGAAGACAGCGATACTTCTATAGTAAGATTCATTTTGGTGTATTTAAAATATTACTAAAATAGAAAAAAATAAATAAATCGATTCACTGCACTCAGCTAAAGTAAGGCCAAAGCGTATTTTTTCTTCCCTTAATACTACTTTTACAGGCAAAAAGTATTTCCTTTGTAACGTACTTCACAGCCCCATAGTTTTAATTTTTACGTTGATGGTACAGTAAATGACAACAAAAGCCCAATTTTAGTTGAAGATCTATCCACTAAGTGTCCATAACATTTCCTCGATCTGAGATCTCTGTTTCCTGTCTCTTTCGACTTATACTAACGCGGATAAGGTATCGTACGCGGTTAAACCCGCACCATTTATCATTTACACCCTCAATCAAGTATTCAACTAAGCTATTATTTTTATCTAGAACATTAAACTTATAATTTTACCTTAAAGGTTTATGTCATACAAATAGGAGAGCCCACAGCTGTTACTGAGAAGACACTACTGACCTTTTTAAATGTTTATTTTGCGATTTAGTCGTTCATAGAGTACAGGGCAAGCGTGAATGCTGCGATCACTAAATGCGAAGCTAGCTGAGTGCTTTCCTGGTGGTCGAGGAAACTAACAGGGCTTTAATTTTATCTGCCTTTATATATATTCTCACATAAAAATATTGGCTTGAAAAGTGCACAATATTTTAAGTAAGGAATATTTTTATTTTT